TTCTCAGCCTTTGGAGACTCAAAAGTCCAGAATTTAAGTTGTGGAACATTTCCCTTTGATGTCAGATGATAAGTTTTCTTGTTCCAAAGCAGCTTCTTCCAGAGCTGGCAAAGATTTGTCTCCGTCACAATTGTTGCTCCGAAGGCGTCACTGTAGACGCCCCCACGGAGGCATCACAACAGATGCCACTATGGAGATACTTCCCATGCTCTAAGAGACTTCTATGTGACCGAAAATACCTTATATGCTCTTCGAAGGTTCTTCCGTCCTGCATGGAGATTAAATGCGTCAGGTGCTCTAGCGACGATTGTTTAGCTAAAATCAAAAGACGACGCTTTGAAGCTGGTTTGACACGTGTTCATACCTCCGAGAATAGAAGCGTCCACGAAGCACTAGATTTAGTGAAACACTCAATGGTCTCCTGAGGGAAATGGTTCGTACAGGGCTCTGGCAAGGCGTGACTATACCGCTCAAGAGCAACCACCCAAGACTCTCAAACCTGTTCCTATAAATACCCCTTAGCTTATTCATTTCTAGGGGGACCGGGGAGACCTCCCTTGGGACTTTTAGAAAGTTTTTCTAACACTTGAGTTCATCCCTCTAAGAGTTATTCTTCAAACTTGTGCGCTTCGGGTTTGAAGCTCTTCGTAGAAATTTCACTTAAAAAGTCTTAAAACACTTCGTTTGATCCATCCAAACTCATCTACAAGCTACATTTGAAGTTTATGAGGTTTCTCCAAAGGACCGAAAATCCGCCTCTGTGGCTGGACTCCATCGTCCTGGAGTACGCTTCCAGAAAACCATAAACTTCATCTGCTGATACACATTCTCGGAGGCAACTCGTGTTTTTTCTCTGAGTACTCCACTGAAACAACCTTATCTGCACTTTATGAGTCAGATAGCTACTCCGGAGGCAACCCGTGCTTGTCTTCAGAGCATTACTCATATGAAACAGCTTTATCTACACTCTTTGAGTCAAATCTCCATCAACTGCTCGGTTACTCCTCTCACCATACTTCGTCCATGCGATCTCCATGACTGAGTTCAACATCTTCCCATGCACATAGTCGAGAGTGCCTCAGTAACTTGGCAGCAAAGTGGGTCATAAAATCTGATTTCTTTGGCTTACTTTAGGCCTAATTGATCCCTTATTTTTCATTAGAGGTCCTACCGTAAAAAATTCCTCTGTGAACACCGCGTATTTCGTCCATGTCAGCATCGACACCACCGACTCCGGTACTTGCACGTGTATACCTTGTACACGTCGTACCCACCAAATCTACCAGGCCCTAACATAAGTGATTTTTAGTTCAATTTTACCTGTTTTAGCACCGTTTTGCACTAAATTTCTGATACTACTAAAAAAATACTAAGAATAATTTGAATAAAAATAAAAATAAACAAAAATGCACTAAAATAAAATAAAATCACACAATTAAATAAAAATAAATTAAACAAAACGAGATAGAACTAATATAAAACACAACAAACTAAGTTAAAATCAATTTTCTGTGTCTTTTACTTCATAGTTTTTTCTTGCTTTTGTCTTCATTTCTTTTATGTCCTTTTTTTTTTCTTCTCTCCCTTTTTTTATGCAAAAAATTATATAACTACTATTTTAAATGAATCATGTGTACGGAACGCGTGTAAAAAACTAGAATATTGTAAAAGGAAAGCACACAAACACTAAGGTAATTAAATTTGCCTTCACCAACGAATCTAGCGCCATAAACTTGTTCTTAGTCCTCTATTATGAAAGCATGTTTTTATACAGTGTTGAGGTCATAAATTTTTGTGGCGGGAGGGGGGCTAATCACTACGGAAAAAATTTAATTAAATGTAATTTGATGCAAAAGATATGTAAGTTTTATTTAAGAAAAAAAATTTGAGGAGAGGCTAATCAAATTTTCATGTTTTTTTTTGGGGATTGTAATGTAATTTGAGATAATATATCTACAGATTTTAAAAAGAATAAAAAGTTAATAAGGGGGCTTAAGCCCCCCAGTTCTTAATTCCCTCCGTCCCTGCTTTTATACTTTTAATTATTCTTTAAAAAATAAAGAGCTAGAGATCAACGTGAAAGGATTAATTTAGTCAATTGAATGAGAAGAAAACAGAAAATTATCCCTGAAATTGCATTTGTTGCTTAAGAAGCTGCATGACCTCTAATGGTCCCAAAAGTTAGAATTTGTATGCTTGAAGATAACCCCAAATTAAAGTCAGACATTCTATTAAGCATTTGAGCCTTGTCTTTTTTCTCAAGCATCTTCAATCTTAAGAGACTTCTTTTGACAATATTAAAATTGTGCATATAGTCTCTTTTCATGGAAAAATCTCATATTCTTAAATTTCTAATTCAATGTTAAATTACTTTTACCGACATGTGATCACTGATCACCAATTCTGCTTCCATATATCTAATGTATAGCAATCACTATACAATTAATTTGAGATTCTATAGCAAATAAATTATATATATGTGAATGTACATCCTTGAAAAAGCTGGGTTGACTCCCACAACTGAAAAGCCGTCGTATGAGAGGACTAATTAATATTAAAAATAAAGTTCAACCATAATGCATCCAACGTGGATTCCAATTTCTGGCTATACACATATGCAAGTGGATTAGACAAACTAGGGATCGACTTGCACTTACAATTTAAAACTCATGATGAGTGTCACTTGGAACATATACAAATGGCATCTTGGAATCCCAATGTTAATTCGTGCAATAATTGGGTCATAATTATTTTCGGGCGGATTTATTATAATCTGATTTATTATAATCTAATAAAGTTTTTATCTCTATCATATATATATATATATATTGTTGGACCCTATGGTATTGTGCTTTTAAGTCTAACCTAAAAGTACATGTACATTATAAACAAGTATATATATGTGTGTGCGTCTGTAATTTAGATGTGTATAAGTGTATATGTAGGTAGAACTTCTCCATAAATATTAAGCTTGAAGAGATGGGCAATCGGCTGCTTACAGCTATATATTGGAATGAGTGAACACTTGAAGAATTTTTCAAGCAAAAAAAAAAAAAGAAAAAGAAAAAAAAGTGAGACTGAAGAATTTAAAAGGACGAGAAAAGAGAGGTTGAACTAGGAGGCAAGTACGACAAACTTGCCCATGCATAATATTCTCTTTTTATATATTTTCACATTCTTTTCCAACTTTTTCTCTCTGACAACTTTTTATGGGGCAAATGCGAACATATAATAATCTTAGGCGTTTCGATCCCTTGAGTGAAAGACAGCTTAGTCGACATAAAATAATTAATAAAACCCTAGCTAGCCCTAGACCCCGCTTATACTATCACTATTATAGTATTCCAATTATTTGATGAACAATACTTCATGATTATCCTTTCGATTGTATCTCCAAACTAACTCAAATTTTGAATCACAATATTTTTGTTTCTGTAAGCTCAAAAGAAGAAAATTCGTATTTCGTTATTAGCTAGGCATATATATGATATGATCTCTTACCTATAGTTCACGATTTTAGGCTTGTAGATGATGTTGTTGCAAGTGGGTGCATGCGTGATAAGGGTGGGGGTATATATGCATGCGTGTGTCAGGGCATGTCATGAGGATTATATATATATATATATATATATGTATGTATGTATGTATGTATGTATACATATATATATTAACACATAAGAAGTTAATTTCTGCAAGGGAATTTCGTTAGTTCATTAGGCAGTAATCACTCACTATAACATATATATGGTTACAAAAAGTGCGTATATATAATTATTATCCATGCTTGTTTTAATATTGCTAATATCTTTAACGTTTTTCCCTTAATTTTCCTTGAGACGTGCCTAAGCTTTGATAAGGAATTTTAAGATTTTCTTCTGCAGGTGTAACTTGTTTGTTTGGAGCACCAATGCTAGCCAGTTGCAACTTTTACACGTGATTATTCACCACTTGCTTGCAGTACTAATTAAATATTTCCACTTAATTTTCCTGACCACTTTGATACTTCAGAATAATACCAATATAATATATAGTTATACTAACCTCATTCAATTCTCCAAAAAACAAAAAAAAAAAACACACACTTGAAATATGTTTTCTGAAAACCTATGTGCCGTTTATTTCCTAAGTTTGAATTACAATTCAAATGTTTTAATTATAGTATTTTCTTTTGCAAAAATTTTGAATTTCTTTTCAAATTTCTTGTTCAAACTTGCACATTAAATGGTACCCTAGTTGTTTAATTAGAATAAATGTATAACACAGATATTGGCATGACTATAACTTTTGATTGATACCAAAAAAGTTAAAAATAAAGAAAGTAAGAAAGAAAGAAAGAAATTGGGGGCCAAAAATCTCTTTTCAAACCGGCGGTGCCGCGGTGGGTCTTTAGTAATCGTTATTAAGCGAAGATTGGAGTTGATATTGATGTTGCCCTCTAGAGGAAGTACAAATATATACGCTTCAGTGATTGTTAGGGCACAAAAACAGTTTTATATATTAACGATAAAGTTACATAAAGTTACCCTGTAAATTAACTTATTATATAATATATTTACAAAATACAAAGAGAGATAGAGACAGAGCTGAGAGAATCATCTTCAACATCCTTTTACAAAGTTCACTTTTAGTTTAGACTTTAGAACATCAAAGAGAAAACTAAATATTTTCTCTCTGATTAGGAGCTCATATTGATTATCTCACTTGTATTTTCCCTTCCCTATTCACAGAGGTTAGTTGTGATTGAAACTTTGGAAAAAGAGCTACATAAAGAGGAAACCAATCATCAGTACGCATACATATTGATATATATATATGTGTGTGTGTGTGTGTGTGTGTGTGTGTGTGTGTGTGTATGTATATATATGTTATATATATTACAAAGGCTACTTCAAATAGTTGAGAGATGATCACTTTGGGCTGATACGGCAACAAGTTCTTGTGGGATTATCAACTGAAAAGACAATAATCAGGTACTGATATATATATAATTCATATTCAGCATGGAGTATGCAAATCTCCATACGCAGCATCATCATCATCAGCTGCAAGAGCAGGTTAATATTGGGGCTCCGTCAGCTTCTTTACCAATTATAGCTCCGAGCACACTAGTTACTACAACCACTAGTAATTGTAATTGGAATCCAAGCCTCATTTTGTAAGTATATACACATACATTAAACTACACTATTCGTTGATTTCTCATTTTAGATATTGCTTTGCTAATTTCAGTAATTAATTAGATTAAAAAAACATGATTTATATGAGGAAATATAATTAATTGCTCATGCATGTCTAGTATGATAATCAGTTTTATGAATTCTACATATTTACATGATGTATATTACAATAACCAATAGTAATATTAATATTATGAAGGAGTACTAAATATTGATCAATAAAAACAATTAAGGCAAATAGGCCATGCACTAGATTAAGATTACTCTAGTTTAATTATCGTCTAGCCATAGTTTTGTTTTTGTTAACTTCTCACATGCTTATTGGTATTGGCTATCAAATTAATATTAATATGTAATTGATTATTGTTAATTTTCTTATTATCTGATATGTGTGAATGTTTAAGGAATAATGGCATAGATGTGTATCCAACTGAAGCCAATATCCCCAACTCAAAGCTATGGCAGTATAACTCTCCAATTACCACAAGCACATTCACCTCCCACGAATTCAACTATGGTGATCATCATGCAAGAGCCTTCAGTGCTCAGAGATCATCCACCGCCAGTACCGAAGAATCGCCCCTTTCGAACATTAAGGAAGAGCCAAATTCGGATTCTTTCTCGAAATTGAAGATAGCTAAGGCCATATACAACAACAGTACTTTCATGGAGCTCATGAGTACTAACTCATCATATAATTCAGCTCCGAATGAGTTGTACTCTAGTATTGCTCAAAACAGTAGTATTAATAGAAATGCAAGTTTTGGACATGTTTTTCCTTGTACTAATACTAATAGTACTAGTAGTACGGCAGCTAGATCAACAACAACAGGTTCATTGTTTCCAATATCATTGGTGTTGTCTTCTGGGGGCTTCATGAACAAAAATTCACAGGCTTCGGATCTTTTGTCGCATACCGCTTATAGTCGCGATCGCAGTCAGTGTTATAGTCCCTCTTCACAACATTCTAATAACAGCAATATTGGCTGCGGTCTATATAGAGATCAGCCTTTGTCTGTGCAGGGGCATGGTCATCATGATCCTGACAATATGCAAGAATCAAGATCAAGCCCATCAAACAGCTCCAACAATAATATGGTATGCCATTAATTAGCTAATTCCTAGATTATTTTTGGACATGAGTGCTTCTCATTTCATGTATATTATTATTGATGTTACAATTATCACGGCTATTTTATTATGCAAGCACTGATTGATGATTCTTAGCAACATGAATGAATATATACAGTCAAACCCTGGTACTTGACGTAACTTCTTCTTCTTCTTCTTCTTCTTCTCTCTCTCTTTTTTCTTTTTTTTTTTTTTTTTTTTTTTTTCTAATAAAAAAAAAAGGGTCCTAATAGAAAAAAAAGGGACTTAGACGTAAAAATTTATGTGATGTGAATTTGTATCAAGTTTCTTCAAGTATAGAAATCTCTATCTGTACACACACAGATCACTCCCGTCAAGATTCTAATTTCTCATGTCAAGCATTACTTTGTCTACTATATTTTAATTAAGATATCATGTTTGTAATAACTCTGTAGCTATATCTTTAGTTTTCTTTCACCTCGATTCAGTGCAAGCAACGCATATGTAGTACTGCAGGAGAGTTACAATAGATTATTTTTAAGTGATCAAATTAATATTATATATGTGTTTACATGTCTACACGCGCACGCGCACACACATATAATATATATGTCAGTCTTAGTTTTCTTGATCTATAAACTGAAATGTATTGATTCAATTTGCATTTATAAAGACGTCAGCTTTCTTCAACGAAGTTACAAGAACGAAAAGACAAAGTAGTTTTTCAGAGCCGAAGGAATCTCATGCAGAAGCTAATAAGAAGTCCAAATCTATATTACGATCCTCAAATCCACCATTAAAGGTATATATCAATCTTACTTTTCTAATGATTCACTTTGTTTTCATTTTTTTTCCTAATAATTTTACAAACCCCACATTTTGGAAAAAAAAAAAAAAAAAAAAGTTTCGAAAATTTCATAGTGAGGTATTGGATTTAACTTGCAGGTGAGGAAAGAGAAACTAGGGGACAGGATTGCAGCTCTTCACAGGTTGGTGGCACCTTTTGGCAAGGTACAATCTCTACATTTATTCTTGAATAGTGAAATAATCATATCCCACTAATTATGTGTTTAGAGAGAGAAATAATTATAAATCTATTTGGCCATGCTTCTCTGAATTCTTTATCCCTTTGTATGGAATATTTTCAGACGGATACAGCCTCTGTACTAACAGAAGCTATTGGGTACATCCAGTTCCTCCATGACCAAGTCCAGGTAATCACATATATTTCCCATCCCAATATCTATATAATCTCTATTCACAATACCAACTAATAAATTATTGGATCAATCTTATATGCGTTCTCAAACTTTAGAGTGATTTCTGTTTTGCGCCTTGAAGTTTGAAAACTTCAACTTTATCTATAAACTTTGAATTCATCGCACTTAAGCCCTTCTCTTAGATCATATTATAAAAACAAAAGTAAATTATTCTCAATTAACCCTTCATTGTTACAATTAATGTTAAGAATAAACGAAAAAACCACATGAAGTCCTCTTTTTCCGTATGTTTATAAGGGATTAATTCAAAATTTATAAGACAAAATGGGGTTTTTAAAATTCACGAAGTAAACTGGGAATGACGTCCCTAGAGTTAACTAGGCACGGATGAGAATCAACCTAAATTACTTATCCAAATGAAAATATTTCTAAAATTCATTTTTTTTTGTTTTGTATATCATTTAGTGCTCAGAAATTTATTAAACAATTTGGTGTCCCTAGCATTTGTACGAAGTACGTGAGTGTGGTTGAAACGTACTAATTAAAAATATTACAGCAAAGAAAAAATAATTGCATTCGAATAAGTTTTACACAAATTCTAAATTGAAAATGAAGTTTGTGTTGCAGACTCTAAGCATGCCTTATATGAAGTCCTTGCAAAGCAAGACATCAAGAAAAATACAACAGGTAATTTGCTAAAATGCTTTTGGTATATTGTGGTGTATATATACTTTAGCATTGTTTACTTCATTTAATTATGTGATCTGTGAAGAATGATGTGAATTGTGTTTTAACAAATTGCCTAAACACATCTTGACTGCCTTAATTAAAATCTTTGCTAGATTTACAACAAGCTTTTACTTTGAAGTAAAGACAATTTGATTTGCATTAATTTTTTTTTAAAAAAAAAAGGTATATGGATTGAGCAATGAAGAGGAAACAGAATTGAAGATGGATCTTAGGAGTAGAGGGCTATGCCTTGTGCCACAATCTTGTGCCTCATATTTAAATGGTTTTGATTGAGGAGTTTTGGACTCCCCTATGGATAGTGGGAACAAGTGAAGATTGCATTCAACAGTTTCAACAATTTCTTACTTCTGCTGGGAATGCAAAAAAAAAAAAAGAAAAAAAAAAGAAGGAAAAATAACTGACAATATAATGATCATTATCATGCACTTCAGAATAGGCTCATCAAGTTTCTTCACACATACAAGGAAGTAGGATTATTGTAGGCTCTCTTTCTTTGCTATTTACTGTACCTTTCTCTACCTGAATCAAGATTTTATCTTGTAATAAAACTATGGTCTCTCTCTCTCTCTCTCTCTCTCTCTCTCTCTCTCTTATTCTAAAATCATCGTTACCAAATTTTTATTTGATAACATTTAGTTATGTTGTAATGGTAAGTTAAACTTAACAAAATGGCTACATATGTTTATTGATCATAATTAATTTTCCGGGGTGTCATCATCACAAGTGCTCTGCTCCTCAGAAAATAGTCAGGAATTGATATTATAAGACGCCCAATTTTATTTAAGATACATATAATTTGGGAAAGACTGGAAATTTTATTTATATACTTGACCAAAACTTTTGACTTTTTTTTTTTATTTGGTAAAAGTAATAGTCAACATTAAGAGTGGCTTTGGAGAATCGAATTTCACATCACTCTTAAGGGGTGCTCAGAATCTCTCCCGGGCGTCCAGCCATTCTATTACCAGCTGAATAGGTTCTGCATTACAAAGAAAATCACCAAAATTTAAATTAAACAATCACTTGCAATTTAATGTTAATGGATATATATGTATATGTATATGTATATATAAAGAGTCAATTGAGCTTGGTCATGACATACCAACTTCTTCTTCTTCTTCTTCTTCTTGTTTTTGTCTAGATAAGCTACAAGCTCCTCCTGCCTGGAAAGCGACTCCTCCAAAGCCTACACAAACAAATGAAATCAAAATTAATTAACAAAAGGGATCTCATGTTTCTGAATAATACATTTATTGTATGTTACCATTTAATAGAACAAGAAAGTTTCTTTAAGCCAGATTGAAAATCCAAAATCTCTTACTCATTGTTCTTTTCACTTATATGTTCACAAATATCCACAAAAGAAGAAGTTCCAAAGGAATTAAGCAAGCAACATATGTACCTTCTTGGTTTCCATAAGCTCTTTCTCCAAAGCATCAACCCGGCTTAAAGCAGAATTCAACATGGCCTCCTTCTCGAGCGGCATGGTGACTTGTTTCATGCTCATGACAGTCACTCTCTCTTCCAACTCAGCCATGCGCTTCATAACAGACATTAAGTCAGCACTGGACATGGCAGCCCCTTGCAGCTGCACCTTGGCACCAGACATGCTGTCATCATCACAGTAAGTCGGGCTGGAGTAGAAGGTGGAGTCAGTTAGCTTCTTGGGGATGTTTCTTGTCAGCCTGACCATGGTCACAATGCCCATCACAACCGTCATAACGCCGGTGAAGATTTGCGAGCTAAAGCCGTCAGACATTTTGCAACCATCATGCATTGTATAGCAATCTGTTGACATAAAATCCTCATGAGCACATTTTGTGTAAGATCAACAATACAATTCTTTCTGCATATATATTGTGTAGGAAAAGGCGATGAAAATATACCTTTAGGAAGAGCAAAATTGTTGCTTTCAACCGCCTTTTGCCAAGTGGCATCCACAGATTTGTCAACCATTGGAACATAGTCGTCATACTTGTAAAACTTTTTAGACCTTTTCAATACAGGGTTCTGTAAGGTTCATATTTAAAAGAAGGAAGTGTTAGAATTATGCATGAAAGGAAGTTGGAATAGAAAAGGGTAAAACCAAGTATGACTACTAGCAGTGATGCACAAAGTTTTCCTTAGGCTTCTACGGAAGCTTAAACTGCACTAAAATGAGGTTTATAGTACACTTAATCTTATCAGTTTAATTAGATATAAAATATCTTTATGCATAATTCAATGTTCATTTCAACAAACAGGAAAATAATACAAAAGGGAAGTTAGGAACTGCATTTACTTTTCTCGTTACCCTATATCATGCAGTCATAATAAAGTACCGTTACTAATTTTATATGTAAACGCATAAATAGGTGAGAAAATGAAACACTTCTTAAGTTGTATTATAAGCATAGGAACTTTTGTTAATCGACCATTTAGTCACTCGTAGAAACTTACTTCTTCACGAATAGGAGACAATTGTGTTGTACCATCTACATCTGGAGTAGCCTCCACATTGTGAGAGTCACAATATCCCTGGATCAACAAAGATTATGCAAATCATAAATTAAGAGGGAGTTCCTCAATCTTTTGTACCAACCAAAAGATATAGGAAAGACAAAGTAATTCACAATTTTTTTTGTTTTTTATGATCTAGTGCTACCTTAGAGTATGACATCTCATCCTCTGATATTGTCTTCTCATCAGCAACTTGGATGCTCCCAGGTTTTCCCTTACATTTGTGGTCACCGTTTTGAACCATCTGTAATTCCAATTTGTGATTGTGTTAAACAAAACATGATTAATAGTTCAAACCAAACTGAGAAGTTTACTAAATCAGATTCAGTTAAACCAGGTACCTTCAGAATTTCTGGGTCCTTCCAAGGACCCTTATCCGAACGCATACATCCGCCATGTTCGGCACAAGTGCAAGTACCTCCTAGAAAGTCTGGCAACTCGCTGGTGCCCCAAAACAAAAGGCCAAAATTAGGCGAAAATAAAAACAATGTGTATGTTCAATGGCTAATTGTCAATAACTCAGAAACTTACTTGGCATCAATTATCTCAAGCAACTTGCTCTGGTACTTATTTCCCAGGACCTGGTAGATAACGATTCCTTTCACTTAAATAAGTGCACTTTTGATAAAAATTCCTTATTTTTAGAATAAAACATATATACTTACATGGATCTTTGCAGCAGTCTTAGGATCAAGGAAGGACTTGACTGTGTTCCACAACATCCTAAAGCCCGAACCGGCGTTGATGATAAACATGCGGTTCAAGGTCTGCAAAGAAGCATCAAATTCAAGTGACATAAACAAATATTGCGAAAATCAGAGAGATAATAATATCAACAAAATGTGAGCTTCTAAATTTGACTCGAAAAGTAATGAGTCAGTACCTCAGGGTAATTGTCACCATCAATCTTTTGAAGGCAAGAAATCAGTTCTCTCGCAGATTTGGTGAAATTCTTAAGTCCCTGCATATCATTAATTTGAAGGTCAACATGATCTCGAAAAACAAAAATCGTGTTGAAACCAAGGTAATGTTGTGTGACATACTACTCCTTGAACATCCAAGATGGTTGTGCTTTGATCAATATGCTTCTTTGCTGCAATTGAACAAGCTGGGAACTTAACACCAAAAGTCCTCTCAAACTCTCTGACATGATATTTCACATAGCGATCCATTGTTGTCACTTGCATCAGCTTGTTGGGATCTACTTTTCCTAGTCTCTCAATGTAGACTGGTTTTCCATCCTTATCCACTCCATGATAGCCTTGAGGATAGTATTCCAAGACTTCACTCAGTTCCTTGAACTCAAAATCCTTTAACATAACACAAATAAATAGATAAGTTCAAGAACTACATTTTGATCAAAACTTAAACAAAAAAGGTTTTGTATCATGATCCCACTACCTTATATTAAATATTGAAAAGGTACCTTGATGTTTTGATATAATATTAAAATGGTATCCTGTAGTTTAAAAAAATATCATCTAAACACCTCAAATCTGTTTTTCGGAACACAAAATTAAGTTATGAAACAGCGATAATCATTCGATGTTGATTACAATTTTTTGGCACAAACTCAATCTTTTGAGAATGGTCATTCCCTTTTGTTTCTAATTAAGTGGAATAGATTAAAATGTGTTCATAGAACTTAAAAAGTACAAAATAAATATTTTATGTCCTAAAAACTTGGAACGAGACATGTTAATATAATCTAAGCAACGAGGTACCTTTTCAGCAGTACGTTAAAATACATAATACCTAATTAAAAAGAAAAAACCATGATACAAGTAATTCTTCATTGGTTAATACCTCCATAATTGTGTCAGCACCAAATTCCTTCCTCCACTCAAGCATGTCAGTCCACATCTGTTTTGCCTTGTCAATGTCGAATTTCCTCGCTTTCAAGAATCTGCAATTGTGAAGAGAAGAATAAGAACGTTTTAAATAACTTGTGGAGCAAGAAACCTAAGATAGGAGAGCATATCAAGAAAGAGAAGACTACCTAAGCATCATGTGATAATCATCGTGCTTTGCAGGCAGTAGCTCCTCCAAGATAAGTGCCTGGCGGAAAGCGTCAACGGCCTGTACCTCCTCGGCGTCATGGACGTCCTCGATTTCGATGACCGACATGACTTTGCTACTCCTCCTGCCCTTTATTGTCAAAGAATGCCTGAACTTGCTGGAGGCATTGATCGCTTTCTTCTTCAAAGATCCGATCCTAGTCTTTCTCTCGTCCTCTGAGTTTTCGAGTGCATCGAATCTTTCAAGAACTGAATCATGCTCAAAATTGTAGCTATGTCTCAGCATCGTACAAAAACAATCTATAACTCTGCCTTATGAGTTATGGGATGGATTTCATCTCTATACATGAATTAAATGACATGATATCATATAAAGGATTCTATAAGGGACATCACATCAAGTAAGAGATTGAATCCTACTAGGATTATTAACTTCTCGTGTACTAATCATATAAGTACCACATGAATGCCTTTATTTATTTGGGTTTTTTTTTAATCTTTTTCTAACTTATATTTTTATTAGGTTATTTAATATATATATATATACCATTTGTTTTTTTTATCGTATGTCTATTCCGACTACAAAACGATTAAATTACGTAAAGAGATTAAAAAAAAAATCAAAAAAATTAAAAATAATTTAAAAAGAATGGTGGATTTTGTGGTTCATGTTTTTAGTTTTTTTTTTCTTTTCTAATTTTCGGATTTTTAGTATTTCTTTCGTTTTCATTTTAAGGGTATTTTAGTCATTTACCAATCAACATTTCCTATTAATCGAGAAAATATATACATTTTCCTTTTAAATTCAATTTAACGGTATATAGTTATAACAATCGTAAATAAAAGATATGCTTTTGATTTTTGAATAAAACTAAAATATAGGTAAAGAAAATTTTTTTATTCGTTCTCCGTCTTGGAAAGTATTCACTACACTTACCAAAACTTAATTATAGATTTTAGCCGAGGGCTTTGTAAAAATAACTCAATAGAAAAGTTTTATTAATAAAATAACTTTTTAAAAATTTTTATTTGTAAAATGACTACAGAACGACCACTTTTTACAAAGAATGATTAGGTGGTCATTCTTCATAAAAAATGAAGAAGGTCATTTTGCTAATTTCATTTTGTTGGATAGTCATTCTAGCATATTGCCCATTTTAGCCCTTCCCTTTCTTTTGTGAGGCTTCTCATAAAACTACATACATATATACATTTATAAACGTACGCATATCTATTTATGAATGCAAGTACATATGCAAACATAAGCATGTCCGAAATTTTTTTGAACAGAGGGTATAACGTAAGAGAACTTTTAAAAAAAATGAAGAGACACAAATACAATTTTTCTTATTAAAGAGTAAAAACAAAAAAAAAAAAAAGCTCTTTGCGCAGATTTTTTACAGCTTCCTAATGCGTACATTTTTACAGACAGCTCCCAAATGCGTATACATTTATAGGTTTATAAAACATATATAAGCACAGTTACGGTGCCATAACTTTTGAAATTAAACTACAACACGATAGTCCTTTTATCTTTATTTATCCATTTGTATCTTTAATGTTTTTCTTTCTAAATGAACTAAGTTCATAATGGAGTATATTATATTTTTTGTGTTTAGAGTTTAAATTTATAAATTAATATGGTAGTCTAATTAATTTTTAATTTATTAGAGATTTTTAATTTAAAATAAGAATACTAAAAATCAAAATTCAGGGTATAATTGATTTTTTTTTAAATGCCATGTAAATGGGCGAATGAAGGAATAAAGTTAACTAAGGAGACGTTTAGTTCATGGATTATAATCATGTGATTAGAATCATTTTCGATTTACAAGTATTTTTTGTGAGAGAAAACACTGTAACGAATCATGAACCATGATTCAAATCATAGTTTGAATCATCCAACCAAACATCCCCCAAACTTTTTCATTTGAGAGCATAACCTTAAAATGAGCTACCTAATACCTATACATGTACATAGATATAGGCTTTTTTTTTTGTACGAATGTCCCCTCAACTTTTTAAATTTGGCAATTTGATTCTTATTTTTTTTATGGCAATTGACATCTTTAACTTATAAATTTTTGTAATTAAGGTCGAATTGAAAAATGAGTCTATTTTTTTTATTCATGATTCTAATCACGTGAGCGTTTAGAGGATAATAAAGGTCATTTTTCACCATTGGAGCATTCAACAAGACAATGGGCCAGTTTGGTACTACTGTAGATTATGGAAAAAAAATTTCTTTTAGCTGTGCTGAAAAAAAAAAGCAATTGTTACAAAAAACAACTGAGTGTTCAATAAACTGTAATTATATAAGTATTGCTAGTTTCAAAAGCAGTGTAATAGCGTTTGGTAAATTGTGAGGTTGAATTGCTAAGTAGTTAAGATGGCCGTAATTAATAATTTTAAATTAAGATATAAAGTAATTAATTATTGATAGTTATTTAGTAAATAAAAATTAATATATTAATAAAATAATAATGGATAGATTATCATTAATGAATACATTAGTAATTAAACTATATATATAATAAATTAATATGCTAAATAATTAAAAATAGTAATTAGTAATTAATTATAAGTAATTACTATGTTAGCAATGTACTCATATTTATTAGATTATATGTAACTATTAACTTTTAGTTATATAATTAAATAATTAGTTAATTAATTACTAATATTTATTTAATAATCTATTATTATAACATGATGAATTTTTGATAATTATTCATTTTATAATGATTAGTTATTAGTTATCAATTATTAATTATTATTGATTAATATATTACATATTGATAATTATAATTTAATATTCATTATTAATTGAGTCATTACTATTTATTTTTTATTTACCAACTATTTACTAATTAAAAGATTATAATTAAGATAATATATGATTGATATATTAATTATTTATTATTTATTTAATAACCTATTATTACTTGTTTTATTTTAATATGTTATATAATTAATTTTTGGCAATTAATCTTTAGCTAAATAAATAATTACTATATTATTTATTATTTTATTAACAAGATTAAAAACTTAATAGTAATAATTTAATATTTAATAAATAATTAAGTAATTACTATCTATTTATTAGTTTTTAAGTATATCTATTTATTAATTAATATATAATATAATTAGTAATTAATTATTAATTATTTAATATTACTTTGTTGATAATCATTAATTGTACTATGCTGATTTCTAAACAATCTAAAAGTCAAAGTTGCCTTTGAGCTGCTTCTGATTTTAGCTGTAGATTTTTCAAAAATTCTTTAAAAATCACTTTTTACGGTTTTTACCAAACACCATTCATCAGCTTCTGATGGCTAGAGACGTGATTTTGGACTTCAAGAAGCACTACCAAACGCACTCAATAACCTTTAGAAATCAAGAGTTGTTTATCACAGCTGATTGTATTTAAACACATTAAATAACTTAGTTATCAATATAACCAAACAACTAGGGTGAGAAATAATCTTCATTAGCCTCAATAGATGCTCATGTAAGTATTTTGTGATTAGAATCATCAAAAACAAGACACCCTTTATAAAGAATTTTAAGTTAAAGGGGTCAATTGGCAGGAATGAAAAAACAAGGACCAATTGCCAAATTCAGGGGATGTTAAAAAAAAACCATAGATATATATACATGCAACTACGTGATAATAGTGTTCATAGCGGGACATACCAATTTCACATTGACGTGTACACACACATAGACACACACCAGCAAATATGGAATTACCAACCTGGCTTGGGAGATAGAGGTCCTGAGATTGTCATGTTTCTCTCTTTTTTGGGGGCTCTTTTAAAACAATGAGTCAACCAAGGGGCAGAAGAAATAATTCAAGCACTCATATCACCAAGCGCCAGAAACCAACGCCCTCACAAAATGCCTGCACATAACATTTGGCAGATAATTAGGGAAAAAATATGTGAAACCCAACTGAACAAGAAGCTTGAAAACATGAAAACGAATTATGAATGAATCTGGGAAAATGAGTTATTACGGACAGCCAATGGAGAAAATGCAAGAAACGGGGAAAAAAAAAGAAAGAAAAAGAAAAACAGGATGGTTTTAGGGAATGACGAAGAAGAAGAACAAGGCTAAGGTCCCCCTTAAGTCAAGGTCCCTTATTATTAGGATCGTGAACAATTTACCTTTACACCTCAAGATTCTTTTGTTAGAAATACTTGACTAATTATCTTTACATCTCAAAACATCCAACATGTTAATTAGTTTTCTTTCTTAAAAAATCCTATTTTTTAGGTCTTGGTTTAATTCTGTAGAACTCATAAAACCACTATATTAATACTCTAAAGAAGTTTGTTTTTCAATATTTGTTTTTCTTTTCAAACGTCTTTTGTAGCATATTTGATATTTCGTTTCAAACATTGTGTAATCATCTTTGCTCGGTTGAAAACACGAACAAAAAAAAAAAAAAAAAAAAAAGTCAATTAATTTTGCTATAACTAAAAGGGCATATGCAACTTTTTTTTTTTTTTTTTTTTTTTGTAGGCATATGCACTTAAATTTTAGTATAATAATTTCAATTAATTTTGCTAGAACTAAAAGAGCATATGCATATTTTTTTTTGGAAGATATATGCACTTAATTGAATAATTTCTTTTTAACTTTGTCCTTTATCACGCACTTTTTAACTTTGTCCTTTATCACGCACTCTACCAAAAAACTTGTTTCAAAGGGTTTGAAAAAAAAAATATCAATATTTAATTATTTGTTCTTAATTTTTTTTAATTATTTTTCTCTTTACTATTATATTCATGTCTATCATTCTTAGCGTGACTTTTATTATGTTAGAGATTTTGTTATTTACATTTTTAGTAATAAGATCACTTATATAAGAATATAAACATCCGCCCTCCCCTTTATCAGTCTTAAGCGAACTCTTTCTCGACTGGCATCTTAGAATAAAGGAATATAAACTCTTCCAGATCTGGAATTTGCAACATCAAGAATAAAAGTAGAAGCATTCTATGCTAGCATAGAATAGAAGTCCCGAGTGAAAACAAGTTTCCTTAGAATGATTGTGTTAAACTAATAAGGAAAAGTACGTCCCACTAAAAATTCTACTTGAAATCCTAAGATGTC